TTTCTAACAAGTAAATCTTATTTTATTGCAAATAAAAAATCAAATATCTTATGAGAAATTCTAATTAATTAATTCAAGTATGGAATAACCAGTTATTTGACTCCTAGAAAAATTCAAGCAATCTATGTACATGGCACAATGACTCAAGTATTTTTATAAAGCAAAAACTTTACTAGAAGATAAGAATTAAATTAAAAGAATAAATCATGCATTAAAAAAATATTAAATCAATAATAAGTACCGTGTTTTATTGAAAGTATCTCCCCTAACTTTAGTTGAGCTTTTAGCAAGCCATAGAACTAAAACAAAAAAATTAGAAAAGAAAATATAGGAAAAAAATAATAATCTTAATCCTCCTCCTTCCTCTCAATAGGTGAGAGCCCTTATTCATACTAAAATATAACCTAGGTATAAGTAAGAAATTTAGGATTGGTTTGAGAAGAATTATTTTCCAAAAAAAAGTCTTGTAAGGTCAAATCCTGTGCATAAAATCTTTGGGACGTGGGTACAAAATCTGTCCAAACTTTGAACTTGAATTTCGCATATTTAAAGGATGAATCACAAAATTTTCGTGAAATACACTTTTATACCCCTTGGAGTCTTCTTTCCAATCCTGCAAAAATCAAGTCAATCTAATATCGAAATCAAAAGTTATAACCAAAAAACTGAAGACATGTCAAATTCTTATCTTTTAAGATATTTTTTCGATCCAACTTTAAATGAGTTTTCTTCAAACTTGGACTGTTATAAGGATTAAATTTCTGATATATCTTCAAGTCTTCTTATCTCAATCTTAACTTTTCAATCCTTATCAATTATGATTCTTCCTCTAGTGATTGTTTCACTTACCTTATTCATTATTACTTTAAATTAACTAATTTACCTGCAAAGTAAACCAAGCAACTAGAAAAAGTATCAAACTAGAAAATTAAGAAATTTAACACATTTAATCACAAATAATATGCAATTAATCAATCATTAAATATAATAAAATAACAATTTTGATGGTTAATCAATGGTTTTGGGGTTGGGTTGAGTTGAAGGTCTAGATGCTGGTATAGAGAGCAGATTGTTGAATAAAGAGGAAGATAAGTCATGCATAACCCTCACAAGGGTGAGCCAAAATTAGATTTACACAACACTATATCCCCATAACTCAATGGTGTATATTTGATGGAATTATTTTATTTTTATTTAGAGGCTGCTAAAGCCCTCAATCTAATGGGTAAAGACTCCAACATAGTAAACCTTGACTTTTTGACTTATAGAACTATTCTAGGCAATTATAATTTCAAATAAACCATAAATAATATCATTTAATCCAAAATAGGACCATGGAGCATAACTACTGACTAGTTGAGTACACTTTAGATTACTACAATCCCCATTACCTAAAACCCTGTAAAATTTGGGGAAAACTAACCAGTAACGTAATAATTCTATAATAGGAATTAGAACTGCATTCAACCCTAAACATTACTAGATTTAACCCTCAAGATGGTTACACTACTTGCACATTGTCTCAAAAATGGTCCATGTGAAGTTCCAAAATTGTTTACTTTCATATCAATATGCTTGACCCTGATATGTATGGTAATAAGAAACAAAGTTTTGGAATTCTAAATGTATACTTTGATTGTGGTTTAAATAATCGAATTAGTCAAAGAGTGAAAGTTTTCTAATCCAGGTCTTATTTCCTGTTAGACTTGGAAGAAGTCCAGTAGCTTTTAATGAAGTACTTAATCTTTCTATTGGACACATCATTGCTTTATGAGGAGTTTAGTATTGTGAGTGCACTTTTGCTAGCCNCCATTCCTCTTTATAGCTACTACAAGTCACGTGTGGACGCGAATTCTCAACTGTCCAAACACACGACTCTTTTTGTCCATTTTTTCTTCTAATTGCTTTGAATCTTTCCCCTTTCACACATTTCCCCCCACAAGTATTCTAATCAACTATTTTACCTACAAAATTTGGCAACACTACGAAAAGATGTAAAAACCAAAGCTTAATTAGTTTTGCACAGTTAGCTTCCTATCCAACTTATTTAGCCAAATAACTTAATAATACAATGAATAATTCATAGCTAATCACACCCCCTAACCTAGATGTCGCTAGTCCCTAGTAAGATAAAATAAAACAACTAAAATAAACTGAAACATACATCAATTATCATAGGACTCATGATTGCATTTAGCATATGCAACAAGCATTGAAACCCCTAAGTTCCATCTAATTGACGAGTATAGTATGGTGAGATTTTTTAGAGATGATACCCCCAAACATCACCTTGTTGTTAAATATTCTCATATCACGAATTTAACAACAAAATCTGAAAGTTTTTAGTTGCAATAATTTACAAACACCTACAAAGAAACACTCATAACTAAATGCCATATCAAAGTATAATTCCATCATATTCTCATAAAAACTCATGTTTAGTGTGCATTGATTGTACCGAATTAGAATGCATCAAATAACCTACTTTTACAACTATCAACTATTCGTCTCAATGCCAAATCCCACTAGATAATACAACTTTCTCAGATTTTAGTGACTATTCCCTCAANAGTGTGTATGGTCGAACTCAAACCCATGTAGATCCTTATCTGTCCACAAAATTGTGGTGCCCTTTGGGGCCCAACCTATAGAGCAAACTTGGGAAATATATGCTCATATAAAGTTTCTTGTCCAACCCATGTGAAATTGGTGTCAAATCTCTCATTGTCCCAACTTTTATTTCTACATTCAAGAGGTTCAATTGGGAGCCTATTTTCTTGTTCACCTCTTACTTGATTTGAGTAAGTGAATATACAACGTTATTCTCTTCATGAAGTATTGGACCGTCTGGACACAGTAGTTCTATTCCTCTTTATAGCTACTACAAGTCACGTGTGGACGCGAATTCTCAACTGTCCAAACACACGACTCTTTTTGTCCATTTTTTCTTCTAATTGCTTTGAATCTTTCCCCTTTCACACATTTCCCCCCACAAGTATTCT